AAATTACCATGTTCGTAGGTTGTTTTATGGACCGTAGCATTAATTTCACTGCTAGGAATACTTTTCATGCAATATTATATCGTAGATTTTTTGTAACGAACTCGTATAAAAATGTAGTGCATTCATCATTATCATTGCATCTGTATGCACAAATTTATATTTCCAGAATAAGAGAAACAAAAGATTGTACACATAAGAGCAGTTTCTGCCTAATAAACTGGAAGTCTTATTAATTTTCGTCATTATACTAATTTTGCATAGAAACTTGCATCCTATCATTACTAGAGCGCTTGCATAAAGAATATATGTATCGCTCTATCGTTATCCCACGTAATTTATCGAACGTAACCTGATATTCCGACTTTTTGCGACATGCGCTTATGGTTTGTGTTTATATTTAATTGCTCGGAAGTCCGTTGAAGCATATCTCGATGGTAAATGAATTTTAAGGAGCGTAATTGCCGCGGTATATTGCGTGTAACACTCGGGAATGACAGAAGTTGCGGCAAGATGCTCGGAGGTCCGTAAACTTTCGAAATGTAAAGGTAAACTTCACGTTCAAATTTGCACTTCGTACGCGGGAGACTTAACCACCTGGATACTCGACTAAGCCAGAAGTTTATTTACATAGGGGTTTTATTTTAGCCCTGGGAAACCCCAGATTGCGCCAGAAATTTTTCGCGGGGCAACTTATCTCCCTCGAAACTTTCCGGAATCCCGGGGATCCGCGAAGGCGTCGCTCTGACGAGCCCCGGCGAATTATTAAAAAGAAAAGATAAATCTCTTAGGCGAAAGTTCTCCGAATACAAATGAAAAGTTCGCGAGCGGAAAAGTTTCAAATTATCGGTGTATATTTCAGCACGTTTGCCCCCGTAACTAGAAGAAATATTCGTCCCCACTTAACCCTCGTGCTCCACTCGGATCACTCGCGTATTAATATTTCGCGAACGTTTGTCCGCCGAGGCCGACGCGAGATACATCTACGGCTGACCTAATTGCTTCAATTTGTACGCTTTGATTGAGAAGCTTAATCGACGATGTGTATTATTATATATTATGTATTATTCTATTATGTATTATTATATATTATGTATTATTGTATTATGTATTATTATATATTATGTATTATTGTATTATGTGTATTATTATGTATTATGTATTATTGTATTATGTATTATTATATATTATGTATCATTATATATTTCACTCGCAAATATTCGAACGACTCCAACAAATATTCTATATTATTTGCAATAACTCTTTAGGACGATTTTGGCAGTAAAATAAAAATTATGGTTCTTAGAAAAGGATGAAACAGTGATATAATTGCAATAAAGTATAATTCCAGCATAAACATAAAATAAATGCCCTCGTTGTTTAAAGAAATAATCGACGTAGATTATGTGCAAATTAATAACGCCGTTTAAATGGATATTAATAATTCTCCGATTATAAATTATTGTATCGTTGATCAATATGCGAGAAGACTAATTTGACTGTTTATCTTGATTTTTCTGGTAAATTATAGGTGGTATTAAAAAATGTGGTAAAAGTGAAAGAGTTAAATGATTCACCTTTTATATATGATTCTTTACTACCTTTTGTTTTACATTTGTTTAATTTAAACGTTGAATAAGAAAGAGTTTTTACTATTGTCATCATTATCGCAATGTCTAAATAACTTAAAATAATTGAAAAAGTTTATCAGCTTTTCAGGGAGACAGCAAGGAAACAATACTTTCTGTCAGCAATTTCAAGAATTAATTCACGAATTTAAGATTTCTGTAACGCAACAAGTGGAAGGATCATTATTAGAACGGTAAAAAAACTTTTTATGTTTAATTTAAATGTTATTCAAGTAGTCAGTATCCTGAAGGGTGTTGTTTTTTCTCTCGTAGTTTTCAAGGTCATCAAAGTTTCTCTTTGAAATAACTACATACATTTTTGTGTTGTATCCTGTAAACAATTTAAGAATTTTCTAACACTACGAACGAGAGGATCATTATTTAAAAAAAAATACGTAAACGTCCTCGAAGCTTTGAACGTAAAACAACATTTTCAGTGAAACATTCAGAAGTTCAGAACAATGTCTGGTAANTGTGTATTATTATATATTATGTATTATTCTATTATGTATTATTATATATTATGTATTATTGTATTATGTATTATTATATATTATGTATTATTGTATTATGTGTATTATTATGTATTATGTATTATTGTATTATGTATTATTATATATTATGTATCATTATATATTTCACTCGCAAATATTCGAACGACTCCAACAAATATTCTATATTATTTGCAATAACTCTTTAGGACGATTTTGGCAGTAAAATAAAAATTATGGTTCTTAGAAAAGGATGAAACAGTGATATAATTGCAATAAAGTATAATTCCAGCATAAACATAAAATAAATGCCCTCGTTGTTTAAAGAAATAATCGACGTAGATTATGTGCAAATTAATAACGCCGTTTAAATGGATATTAATAATTCTCCGATTATAAATTATTGTATCGTTGATCAATATGCGAGAAGACTAATTTGACTGTTTATCTTGATTTTTCTGGTAAATTATAGGTGGTATTAAAAAATGTGGTAAAAGTGAAAGAGTTAAATGATTCACCTTTTATATATGATTCTTTACTACCTTTTGTTTTACATTTGTTTAATTTAAACGTTGAAGAAAAAAGAGTTTTTACTATTGTCATCATTATCGCAATGTCTAAATAACTTAAAATAATTGAAAAAGTTTATCAGCTTTTCAGGGAGACAGCAAGGAAACAATACTTTCTGTCAGCAATTTCAAGAATTAATTCACGAATTTAAGATTTCTGTAACGCAACAAGTGGAAGGATCATTATTAGAACGGTAAAAAAACTTTTTATGTTTAATTTAAATGTTATTCAAGTAGTCAGTATCCTGAAGGGTGTTGTTTTTTCTCTCGTAGTTTTCAAGGTCATCAAAGTTTCTCTTTGAAATAACTACATACATTTTTGTGTTGTATCCTGTAAACAATTTAAGAATTTTCTAACACTACGAACGAGAGGATCATTATTTAAAAAAAAATACGTAAACGTCCTCGAAGCTTTGAACGTAAAACAACATTTTCAGTGAAACATTCAGAAGTTCAGAACAATGTCTGGTAAAAGTTCGCTCGGCCAGTTTGTCACCGTTGAATGAAATTCCGGTCGGCAAGAATTCGGTTCCGCCGCCGGAGATTATTGCAGTTTCGCCGCTTTGATACTCCGCCAAATAAAGGCTAACGATTTCCAATTCGCATAATGGTCATTCTTAAGCGGATGTTAATTCTGTCCAAGTTCCGACCTGCGAGGAGGGGCCGGCGATCCGCGGAAGCCGTGGAAAAGAAGCTAATACTACCAACCCCGTAATTTTTCCTCCTGGAATCCCGTCGTACCAGTTCTCTCTGGTGCCAAGAAATATACAAGAATATGGCGTAAGTGCCAGCGACCTCGGTCGTGATGAAGCCACTCACGTACAGCAAAAATGAGAATCCGTACCTGTAGGTAAAGGGTGGTCCCTGAAATCGCAAGATTGCTACGAAGATATTCATTCGTACAAGCACGATACAGATAAGATGTAATCCGCGCCACCGAAGAAAATATTAAATTCAGAAATTCCGTTTTCACATTTTGATCGCGTCCTCCGACTACACCGGAATTGCGCAACGTTACGAGAAATCAATATTTAAATTTATCGTTTGGCCGAAAGCAATCTGTCAAGTCCCGCGAAAAATTTTTCGCACGATCAATCGTCGCAGATTTTTCCAAAACAGAAAAATAGAGTGTGGATTTCTGTTCGAAATAAAAATGTTCTGCATCGGTTACACGAAACTGCAGATCGCATATTAATAGACTGGAAATGACACGTTGCTATTCTTAAATTTATCTAATCCTTTCATTGCTTTAAATTTCGATTTTTCATACAAATGCATCAAATTTACAGTATGATTATATGTAATTTCATACTATTTTTGAATGTATATTACATTTTAATGTTCATCGAGTTTTTATAGTTTCTTTAAACTAGCACATTCTACTTTTGAAATAACCAGTGATAAGCTACAAATTTATTTTCTCTTTTAACAATATTGAAACGTTCAAAATGACGAAATGGCAATCTTAAATTGATGCAACGATTTTGCCGTTTTGTATTTCGTCTATTAATTTTCATCAGAACTGCACGAAGCTCGCAGTCTATTAATTTATTAATGCACTCAATTCTTTGATAATTATACTTCTCGTTATTTATATAAAATTTAACTGTGCCAATATTAAATTTGCGAAATGCATCAGTATATTTGATCCTGTATCATGGCTACGATTCGAATGGAATTATTAACACCTGGATAAAATCGACAAATTAAGCAAATTTGTGATATCGCGAAGCTTTTCGTGGGACTCGGCAAATTAACAAAAGTAGGGAAACGTCTTGATAGGCACATTTGACTGACCTGAAACGACGACCTTGGTCTAAGTTTACTACCAACTTCAGCTTTGAACACAGATATGTACATCACCATTCCCACCAGCATTAACAAACCTGAAAGGGAAACCGATTTAATAACCCGAGCCTTATCTCTCTGCCACAGTTCCAGCGACAATTTCACGGCGACTGACCGATATAATAACAATCGATTGGCCAACCGTAATGCGATTGTTTAAACTTTAATCCTCCCTTTTTTCCATAGCCGTTCTGCAGTGCCGCGATTGGATGTGACCGGTGCAAAAGCTATACGACTTCGTGAAATACGAATTTTTCACCATTCCCGACAATTGAAAAATTAAATCGGACGAATCTACACTCGGGACAGTATTACCGGATGTTTGTGGTATTAAAACTTTCGGAGCTGCGTCGGCATAAAATTTTCATTACACACCGTTGACAAATCGTAAACTGTGGACTTAAAATTTAATCCGAACACGTAATTCCTCGGTAATTGTTTCACTGTTTCTATTCATTGCGTAAACCTGCCATTATCTCGATTTACTTCTTTTGTTTTGTAAGATACATTTCTATAATCTTTATGCAAACTCGTAGTTTCGTACAGAACCTTCCAAACTATAAATAGGATTTCTTTTCATTAACGGAAATATATATTGTATGCGATAACAATGTTATCAAAATATTTCTTTTTCAATTGGTTATTAAATGTCGCCATCAAAACCACTTTAGATAAGAATATCAATCATTCTGAAAAGTGCATAAAGCCCACAGTCTACCCGCGTCATAAATATATCGACCGAAAGAGACTTAAAAAACGCTTCTCACGCAGCTCTCTCAGCGAAAGTAAATAATTAATTACCGCCAAAGACAGTTCAGGGATCGAATAAAAGCCACGAGGCTCGATATCGCCGGTGAATTGCGGCGGCACACTGTCCGCGAAATATGAAATCGTGGAAGTTCCGATGAGTTCGAAATGAAATTACGCATTAAGCTGTTTGCGACAACAAATGAGTTTCCATCGTCGTCGCGGCAAGATAAACTGAATTATCCGGAGCAAGCCGAGGCTCTAAATGAAACTTGTTAAGTCCTTAATAGCTTCTTTAAAGTAACCAGCACGAGCGCGGGCGGGCGGGCGACTCGCTCGAAGTTTCGCGAACGATTCATTCGGCTTTCTTTTTACGGTGGTTGCGTCGGCAACACAAATTTCATCCTGATCGTTTGCTGGAATCACGGAGAGGCCGGCTACCGTGAATCTTTCCCGAAGCCGAGGGAACCAAGGCTTCTTTTGCCATATAGGCGTACGCAAAGCACACCGTATATAACGCGGCCCGGTGCGGTTTATTACTCACCGGAAACTATGAAGACCACGCCGGCGACAAAGACGCAGAGTCTGTGTCTCGGGTGAGTAACGTGGGCAGTGAAGTAACAAACTTCGGCCACCACCAGCAGCGATGTTGCAGCGAAGAAGAACATCGCCGACTTGGTAACTGCATCTGCGTAAAAAATATAGGTATGAGAGCCCCGGGGAATGGGAAAACTTTCGCTCGGGATTCCTCCTTTTTTTCCCCACCGGCTTTTGTTTCCCGGCTTTGCTGCGGGGTCGTTATTTATGGAAATATAGGGACGACGACGAAACGCGACGTGACAATAGTTCCTGCATCTAATAGGCACGGTAGCGGGGTAAAAGATTAACGCGGAAAGGAGGAAAGAGGCTCGATGAAACGCACCGTGATTGCGAATCTACGAAACGACGTCCCGCGCAATCCGTTCCGATCCATCAGAAGGGATGCGATTGATACCATTATTTTGAAATACATCCCGCGACAATCGGCCCGATTGCGAGCATTGCGTCGCACACGTATTGCTGAACTGTTCTAAGTTCCCGTTTGAAACGCCCGTTTCGCAATAGGGAATCGCGAACGTTAACTGTTCCATAAATCGGGACAATGAAAATATTGAAGTGCACAATATGTTCGCGGTATGATCTTGCTTCGAAACACTCGTACTCGAATAAGCATACTTTTGCACAACTGATTGTTGGACAACGGTAATTGTCTGTGTGAATTTACATAACACAACGTTCAAAAATGTCAGTAGAATTTTTGCATCCACTTTCATGAGCTCTGTCTAGTTTTTATTGCATTATTTGTGCCACCGTTTCAAGTAGGGGTGACAATTCAGAGGCGTTTCGTAATAGGGTAAATTACAAGATAAGTTACACATTGGTCAGTTACAGAGACTTTTCTAGTCGCAGCGCGTCAATTTATGTGCATAAAATTTTATTGCAAAAGTTCGGTATCTTTAATTTAATAACGTCGCTTCTAAATATATAAGTATGATTATTGTCCGTGATGATCTTGCTTCGAAACACTCGTACTCGAATAAGCACACTTTTGCACAACTGATTGTTGGACAACAGTAATTGTCTGTGTGAATTTATATAACACAACGTTCAAAAATGTCAGTAGAATTTTTGCATCCACTTTCATGAGCTCTGTCTAGTTTTTATTGCATTATTTGTGCCACCGTTTCGAGTAGGGGTGACAATTCAGCGGCGTTTCATAATAGAGTAAATTTCAAGATAAGTTACACATTGGTCAGTTACAGAGACTTTTCTAATCGCAGTGAGTCAATTTATGTGCATAAAATTGTATTGAAAAAGTTCGGTATCTTTAATTTAATAACGTCGCTTTTAAATATATAAGTATAATTATTGGCCGTGCAGAGAAACCAGCTGCAAGCACGGTAATTGGCGCACTCGCTCTAGGTACTTTTCTCTTATATTCAAACAGAAATGTTCTGTAACTCTGTGTCATTTGGATTCTCCTTTCGGTCGACCGAACATGCAGGCAGAATGATGAGTCGTCGGCGAGAGGAGTGGGCGACAAAGGGGGAGGTAGAAATCGCGGATAGACAAATTGTCGGATCCAGTTTATCATGGTAGGTATATTCTCTCGGCTGAAAGCATTTTCCCGCCGAATATTTTACGGGCGTGTCACACTCCAGTTCAGCGCCAGGCAGAGGACACCTAATCAACCCCCTTCAAAGGCACACGTTTCTCATTCCACCTGTCTCCGCGGCGCGTTTTTCATGGTACTCACATGGTATTGCCATGGTTGAATCGCTCGGGTCCGGACTGTACTCCTCGTTTGGAAAATAGTCGATACTCGAGCACTCGTACTCCATGCGGGAACCTGCGGAAAACAAAAGGAAAGTGATTCGCTGGTACCTATCGGCGTCGTCGTGATATGCGCATTTCTGAAACACACGCTGATCGGAAAGCCGACCGATAGCCGAGCAGATTCGTCCCTGTTTTTTTTTCAGCAGCACGATCTCGGTTCGATTTATCACTGACCCGACAGACCAACAATGCGGCAAAATTCGAGAATTTTTGACAATAATCGAAATGCTCGGCGAACAGAGAATTGAAATAAACATTTATCGCAAAAATCACACGTTTGTTTTCAGAACGGCGTATTATCATTGTTTTTTCTTCGCGCAGGACGATTTGTCAAAATGACGGCTCACTAATTTTTTAATTTACGGTCACCCCCAAATTGTAGTGATACATTTATGCGTCGATATATGTGTTACTAACTGCAAATGTTAGAATAAAATTCGTTAAAAAATGATGATAAATGTTCGATCCTTACTTTTATAAATCAATATGTAAATCAGGACTGTGTTAAACTAATCAACGTTAGTTTCACAACGGCGTTTCATATTTGGTTCTACATCGAAGGAAAAAAAATGCTAGACTGCACATCATCGACTGGGAGGTTCGTGAAGATCAAGATTTATTATTTCAGGGAACATAGATCAAATGTAACGACGAAAAGATTTATGTGCCTTAAAATTGTCACAGAATACGTATGAAAAATGACGAAAAGTTTCGTCGACGTTTCATGCTGTAAAAAAATTGCCGAAAATCATCCGTTTTTTAGACACCCAACGCACGAATTCGTTCACGCATTTGCTGTGAAAGATTCTCAAAGATTTTACAGAATTAAAATTCGTGTTGACTCCAAAGAAAGAACTTGCCAGAATCCTAGAATTCTAGAGTAGTAAACTGCGAGGCAACTCTGTTTATGCTCACCGTACAATCGAATGGAAACAGAAACAGTTCCGAAGAGTGGTTACAGAGGAGACGTTAAATGAATTTGGATTCAGAAGGGGGGGAATGGACTTTAATTCGTATGTACCAAACTAGTAAATTGTCCAAGCTTTTCCTCGCTGTCGCCGAACCGTACTACCTTTTTCATTTCGCGCTCGCGGGCCCTACTTTAATTGAAACGGATCTAGCAAAGAGAAGATGAGTCTGCGACTTGGGAGTTCCGGGCTCTTTCGACGGCGGTTATTAAACTCGCGTACCCACCCCCGAACCGTTCGGTCTTATACGATTTGATTTAACAGGATCGATACCATTCTCACGGGTATCTTACGATTGCTCGTCCAAGCCGCTAAACCATCAAACGCGTCGATCGTTGTTTTAACGATCGCAGGAAAGTCGATTCCGTGGAGACGCTACGCGAGACGACGCAAGGAACGCGCTTTCAGCGAGTAGATTCTTCTACAGCTGGCATAAAAATTAACCTTTTCTGTATTCGGTAAAACGAATATAATTATATTCGAATAATAATAATATATAATAATATATATATATATATATATAATTTATATTATTATATTAATTATATATTATTGATTTATATATATATATATTATTTATTAGATTATTATTATTATTTATTTAGATTATTATATTATATATATAATATAATAATTATATTATCTGCAACAAACAAAAAATCTTCATGGACACTAATAATTACGTTTCAATTTCGAACATTTCCGAATTTGTAACATTACAATCAATTATCGATATTGAAGTAATTTTAAGCATTGAGAACGTGCACCATACATAGAAATTGTTACAATTTATAAAAGAGACGAACAACAAGCTGTTTTTAAATTATTACAGCCTTCTGATTACGATCTCCTATATAATACACGATTAAATTAGCAATTAATTAAATATATCACTGTTTTGGTAAAAAAAACATTTATCCTGGAATTAATTGAATTTTATGGAGGCGATATCATATTTCGAATGAAATTAAATAAAAAGATCCAATCTCGCGTATCCGTATATCAGATTTCTCGCCGGCTATTCCATGTTTCGAATTTCACAAAGTTAAACATATAATATTACGTTTTTACAAATAAAAAACACACGCGTATTTTTGTAAATACGTTACTGGCAGGTAATATTTGTTTTTACGTATGCTGATTTGCTCGGGGAACTGGTGTTTCGTAAATGAAATTCGATCGAAGTGGCATTCAATTAAGGTGGAGAATTTGTGTAACTAAATAATAAATCGATTTAAAGTGAAATCCAATTATGGAAGAAAATTGACCTCGAACTAAATTATACATTGAATCGAAATAGCATCTCATTAAGGGGGGGAGAAGATTTACCTGTGAACTCTGTTGACAGTAAAACGTATATATTTTCAGAATAAGTGGTAATATTGATTACTATAATGAATATGCAATAACGAAAGCATGTTTCTGCATTCGTTTCACGTTTGACTGTACGAAGCAGTTGTTTAAAAAGCTTCATGATAATTCTTTGTTCGTTTGCATTCAAACAAATATTTCCTAATGTGTGAAAACATTTGTTCACGAATTAACTGAACTTCTTCATAAATAAACTGAACACAAAATAAATGTATAAATGAATTAGGGGAACGTTAATTGTATGTTTGATCAGCAATAACTTCGAATAATGGACAAAATGGTAAAAATAAAATGAATTTCTATTACATGTTTAACTCTGGAAATTTATTTAAAACATTTGCAGGCTGCGTAAACTTCTGCGTGCGAACGCAACAAATTTTAATGAGGCGGGTGCAAAAATATTTCTCATTAACTCTTCCCCCCTGGGATTCAAACGTGCCTCTGTCATTTTTAAACTGCGACGGCGCGAAGGACCTAAAATAAAGTGCAGCCAGCGAGGCGTTAAATAAGCGTGGAGCTGTTTGAAAAAATTGGGTTTGTTAATTGTAATCTCGGAAGAAAAATCTAGAAATTTTCGACGCTCTCGTCCCCGAGTGCTAGCGATATTTCAACATTTACAGAGTCGACTACACGCAAAGTTCTAGTATTTTACTCGAAATTTGATAACATAATTCGTGCATAGTTCCCGCAGCTACGTGCACCAGGTGAAGTCTATCATTATGGTGCAACAGGATCGGCGCTCTACGGTGCATCAAAGCTGATTGCAATTCGGGTATCTTGTAATTTCCGTGCATTCTCTATATTTCACCGCAGTACAGTCGTTCCACAAAGTCAACGTTAGCATTTATTAATGTATTTGTAAATAAACGAAATTCGGTTATCGGTAGTTCGACATTTTGCGGATACCGCCGTGATAAAATGCAACATTCCGATCGGCTATCTCTCTTTTTTATCGAATCACTAGCACGAACCAATCACCGAAATCTGAACCCAATAAAAATCGACGCACCAAATGACTTTTTCATCAACTCGTCTACTCTGATCTATTACTCGCAGCCGAATCAACCAAATGAAAAAGAGAACCTCAAATAATTCTTTTGATTCTATAGTATCGACGTTCCGGTTGGGCCATGGTTTTTGGAACACCATGCGTGTCTAACACGTGTATTTCGATTTGCCGAACTTGACAGAGTGCGGAAATGGATTTCCTGCGATACGCTGCATTTTCTTGTCGAACATTTTACAAAACGTTGCAGTTATATCTCACACCAGTTATCTTGAATTGATATTTGCTGTTTCGAAAAAAATCCTTTTCCTGGCGAACGGTTTTTGGCATTTTTTCATACATTCTTTCCGCGCACGAAAAGTCGTCTAATTTCGAATTACTCTCTTTCAGTGAGCGAGACGTCTAGGCTCTGAATAAATGAATGAAATGGAATAATTAATTTTATATTCATCGAATAAGACATATTAAATATTTTTGCTCAAAAACAAACAAAATAAAAGAATAAAAAGATTGAATACTTCTTATTCGATAAATATACAGTTAATTACGCCCGAGAACAAGCCGAAGGCACAGAAATTGATTGCCTCGGCATAATCGACTCCGCTATTTTATACGAAATTACTGAGGTTCTGGCGTGGCAGTAAAGGTGTTAAGCCATAAAAAATTGCGTTATAAGAAGCGCGGAGAACGGTAAATTTCGATCAGCTAGGATCGCTGTCCGACCGGCTGCAAGACGATCAGGAAGACGGAGGATTCGCTTGCTCGGTCGATCGTGAATTTTCGATCGGGCGACGAATAGATCGCGAAGGTGATGGACGGCGACCATCAAACGCGTTTCTCAAAATGATTCGCAAAAGGCGACGCGGCGGCAGGTTTCAGAGGGGTGCGAGAACCAGGGGGCACCGTGGTTCGACGAACGGGGAACGGGGAATTGGGTTGGCAGGCGTGGAACAGTCATTTCCGGTTCGTGCCGGAAGTTGGCCGTATTGCCTCCCTTCGACAGTCGGGAATCAATATTCCAGGTTCGTTGTCGGTGTGCCCACTGGCAGAAGCATAACAGAAATAATAACTTGCAGGCCGGTGTGCGGGCCGCGGTGCAACGATCCACTGCGGGGCCACTGTTGAACCGTGACCAGAGAACCGGATGTGTACGACCCCCTGGCAGCTTCCCATTTCACCGATCCCGCGTTTCCTTGAGACGCGAACCCGATATTAAGATTTACCAGCTCGAGATCCGTAAACATATTTTGCTAAAAACTCCCGAAGAAGCATCGACATCCGTGCCAGAGTTCGGCAAAGTTTATTCGAAATAATACATAACAAATTATAAATTCAGTTCATATTTCAATCGCAAGTAATTATTGAGTTTTTCATTAGATTTGGATATTACTTAAATAATCTATTTATATAATTTCTTATTTGCTATATAATAAAGTGTTACCTTTTAATTGGAGTTTAGGGAAAGACAGGTGACAGATCATTTTGATTTCTCTTTCGTTTGTTGCTTGTACGTTAGTTTTACAAATAAAATGTTATTTCGGCGACTACAAATTTAGATAAATTGAGACAAATATTATATATTTCCACTTGTTGTTATTGAAGAACTTGCGGCCTTTCTTCGTGATTATTTCCTGCTTGAATGTTATGCTGAGGTATTATTCCGAGATT